AGAGATTGCATTTTCTTCGGTTCGGGGCAAGGCGGGCTAAGTCCTCCCCTGTTTGTAATGTTTTCTAATAAAATTTTTAGGCAGGTGCCCCTCCGCTTGGAGTGAAGTTTGGGGCTAAAAAAAGTGGCATCTGAGTTGCTTCTTTTAATTACTTATTTTGAAAATAAACACTTATTCACTCTTTTTTTTTTCAAATGCAAATAAGTTCTTATTTTCTATTTATTAGGTGGCCTTGCCACTTAAAATAAGTGATATCAAGTAGGGGCTAAAAATAATATCCATATATGTATATATGTAATAAGGTCGTGGATCAAATCAAACCATACCAAATTCAAACCGGGTAATAGATGGATCATATTTTCAAAAGAGTACTCTTTCATATCCATTGTGGTCTTGAGTTGTTTAAAAAATATATGATTTTGTTTATATTTTCTACTAACTAATATCAATGGCAGCACCACTCCCTCCAGATAATTCAACGTACTTAGAGTCCTTTATCTCATAAAAAATTCTCTTTTATTTTTTAACATTTTATTTAACCAAGTTATATTTGTCAAACATATATTGTATCAGCATATATTATTGCCACCACAATGAAAATTGTCCAAATTCAAAATGAAGGGTATTTTAGTCAATAAAAATTTAAAAAATCAATAGGAGTTAATACCTTAAATATGGGATTTAATGAGAGGGAATTGAATGAATTGAATAGTGGTATTGAAATTATATATTTTACCCCCACAATAAAGAATGTGTAAATTCAAAATAATGGGTATTTTGGTCAAGTAAAATTCCAGAATTCTCAAGCCTTATTTGTGCTTTTTATAATAGTATAGATAGATATTTTATTTAGTCAGGTTACATTTACCAAACATATATTGCATCAGCATATAATCTTTCAAGTATTAACTTCCTTCATTATTCTAAACTTTTCCTTTTTATTCAAAAACAATTTCCCAAAAATAACCATTAAATTCCAAAAAGTAATAGAATTTAGGATGATAATTACTTCAAATTATCAAATAATATGAACCTAAATAAATTACAATAATTTGTCAAAAATTGTATTTCATTTTTCTGTGCATCGCATAGATCCCCGCTAGTATATATATCAATCAATTGGGTGATGGTACTACTTCAGAAATTGAAGTTATTGAAGGCAATAAGACACTTTCCAATGGTAATATCATCTTTTCAAAAAATCGCCCTAAATCAAAGAGAAAAATGCATAATATAAAGAAGGTGACAAAGCAACGAAAATGTGTATTAGTATATGCAAAACTATTGGCCACATCAAAAGACATTGTCCAAAAATTAGAGAATCAAGTTAAGAAATAAAACTTTTTCTTTAATATTTTTTGTTATTAACAAAACTAATTTCCTATATTAGATATTTGTGTATAGGGAAAACTTTGAAGGAACTTCATCACCAACAAACTTAGAAGTGCATGGACCTTCTACTATTGTCAAGGATTTGGTAACTTTTTTTATTAAAAAAATGTCATATACTTAAAGTTATATCATATATCTATGCTTTCGATTTGAATAAGCTTAAGGGTCATTTTCAATACCAATTTCAGTTTAAATACTCTTCTATTTCTTATAGGAAGTTGCAACACCACCGATTTTGGTACTAGCCAGTAAGGCCTTCTGTCATCTCTCAATATCAAAATCCTCCAAGTTTTATGGTATGCATTTTGTTATTATTTCATTTCTATATGTTCTTTAATATGATTTTATTTATTTAGTAACTATATTTTATAATTTGAAATTGATTTTTAATTTTTAATTCTTTAATATTTTTTGGGTTTATTTCTTACAGGATTTAATAGCACACAACAATGTTTTGATAGATCTCAACAAATGAACGTTTCATCTGGACATAAAATATTGAAACTTATTGTAGTGGGTTTAGTTAATTTAGGAATATAAAGATAATAGTGCCAACAATTTAACTTAACGTAGGCAATGTTTAATTTTCTCTTTTTTGTTAATTTGTAATAAATTGACAAGACAAAGCCAATTTGAGAAATTAGATTTACTTTTTGATAGTGAATGTTTTCATTTTTTTTCGAAGAAGTATGGATAGGCCCAATGCAGATTTCTGATTTTAACTGTAGAGCTATAAACATTCTCACCCACTCCAACTGTACACACTCTAATGCCCGCCCGTGAATTGGCATCAATTCCGAATTAGCACCCACTCCAACTATACTTTAGGCCTAAAAATTCTAACCCTGGGCTGAACCATCATTCTCCCTTTTTTTTTTGTTTTTTATTCTCTCAAATACAAACGTTTGACAAGTGAACTAAATATGCCTTTATTTATGATTTTTATTATCTTATTAAAGTAACTTAAAAGGAGTTTTTGTAATTCCAAAAACGAGTTATAGAGAGAACCTATTCTTGCAAAGTTAATTCACCCATTTGGGGATTAGATTCCTAATTAACTTGTAACATATATCCTTGTAGAAATGGTTGCAGTTTTTAACAATCAAATGATATGTATCATCATGTTTGTAGGGTGGTGTTCCATGATCGAACTCCTTGACCTGACCTGGGTACACACACGTATGGGTGTCAATTGGACTGGATTTGGTCCAACCCGATGCAGTCCAATGTCAGTCCATTTCAAATGGGCCAAGTCCAATCCAATCCAATGCATATTTTGAATCATTTTGGACCAGTCCAATTCAATATCTTGACCGTTTAATCTGTTCATATTTGTTTTAATTTATAATATTGGTTCTAATCCAAACTTGATCCATTGACACCTATATTCTTATTTTCTATCAATGGACCAGATATTAACTCAATCCATCCCAATTTAATATAAATTCATTATGGATGGACCAGGTCCAATTCAATCCAATAAATATTTTGGATCATTAAGTCTGGACTATTCCAATTCAATCTGTCTTATTTGTCCATCTAATCCATCCAAATTGATTTTGGTTTGGACAGGTTCAATCCAAAACCGGTCCATTAACGCCCCTACACGCACGTTGTTCCCATGAATATTGACTTCCTAAATTTAAATTCCCGACATTGTCATGGCTTGACTTCAAAGACACCATTAATTCGGTAATCGTAGGCTCCTAAGGCATATTATACACCATGAACTTCCACACTAGAGTGGAAGAAACCAAGGCCTTCTCAATATACATAGCTATTCATGGTGACTTCACTTTAATTTTCATGTTTTCTTTAAAAGGTGAAACCAAGAATTGGTTAATCCCTAGTGACAATATATCCATCTGGGGAGAACACCCACATCAAAACACCAGGAACCAAGAAAACCACCTTAAACAAGCATGCTAACCATCTTTCACGGCCGCCATCTAAGATTGGTGTAGCTTTGCTTTAAACCCACACATTCCTTATGGGAAACCAATATTTAAAAAACCGGCCGGAATGGGAACCGCTTTGGCCAGCGGTTTTTGGGTCAATAGTTCGACCATCTAGTTCAAATGAATGGAATGTTCTAATTTAAGAAAAAATAAAAAATTAATTAAAATAAAAAAAATGTTCAAAACCTTTGTTTGGATTGAATGGATCCACAATTCAACCGCTTGAGTCAATAGGTCGCTGACGAAGTCTACAGTTTTGGCCAAAAAAACGGGTTATGTGTGAAACAAACCAATTGTTTGGATAGCTTATGAGCTGAATGGTTCGACTGTCTGATTCAACAATAAACTACGGTTCAAAAACCATGCTAGAAACCAAAATCCCCAACACCCGTCAATCTAAAACTCACAATAAGGTTATGCTTGCAACTACTAGATAATTAACAAAAGACTATGTATATTAAAAAAATACACAAAAAAAAAAAACATAAAACATGAAGAGGGAAAAGCAGGGTATTTAAAACAAACCATCTCCATCTTTAACGAAGAGTGAAATCAACTCATCAAACAAAAAAAAAAAATCCACCATTGTCATGTTGGTCTTTTTCATTTTTGGTGAAGTTGTTTTAGTCTTGAAGACTCAAACAAATAAATTCTAAGGATTTTTTCTGTTTGAATGAGAGAAATAAATTCAGCTCTAATAACACCACAATTCTCTCTCTCTCTCTCTCTATCTCTCTCTCCTTAATAGTTAATGTTTGTAGCATATCCCCTCCCCATTAAATCCCTCTTTTTCTCTTAAATCTCTTTTAATCCCTTTTGGCTCTATCTAATAAAGTAAGGGTGTTAATTAAATGGATTGGGTTAGATTAAGGGCCAAGCTAAATACAAACCCTAACTTTGACCCAAACCTATATCAAAACCCAAATTTGTCCACCAGCATGGGGTGAACCAATTTCCTTCTTACATAAATGTCTAAAGAAATCATTTATCCTTAACATGGGTTATTAGGTTTTTCTCTATTCTCTTATTAATTTAATGCATATTTGTTTCATGGATTCTTCTAGTTCAACAATAAAAATCACTTAACATGAGCCTTTAGTTATTTTCGTTAGTTCGATTTTAAAATCATTTTTTAAATTGGTTATTGATCTTATGTTAAGCACATTTCTTGGCTATATGAAAAGGAATAAGCTTAAAGCTCAATAACTAAAATGGAAAGAAATTTATTTTTCTAATATTTTATATGTAAAGATCTAGAAATATATAAAAACTTTGGTGAATCAGTGTTACTTCATTATTTTCCTTAAAAATTATTTTTAAAAAACAGTTTGTACATCGCACGGGTCACAGCTTCTAAAAACCTATTCAAGAACTTCACCTCACAGCTTTAAAATTTTAGGTTGAATGGTTCTTTGAGAATTATTAACATTACTCACAATTTACAAATAGGTTTTGAGAATCCAACTATTACATTGCAAACAAATAACAATCCTTTACAATGGATTTCCTTCAAACTCCTCACAAATTGTTCGAGACCAAGGGATGGTCATTCCCTCAAATGGGGGAATGCCATTCCAGCAAGAATGGAAATGAGATTCCGATTCCATTCAACCAAACAGTAAGAATCAGAATACCCCATTCTGATTCTGATTCCAGACCCTATTCCCGCAAACCAAACGAGGCCTAAATATAGATTTCAATAGAAATAGTATTTCCCAAACCAAAAGTGGTATTGCACATGGTACGAGACATGTAATATGTATTACTACACCCTTCATCATATACATATATCACCATGTAACATACAACATATAGAATACAAATACAACAACAAATAATAACAGTGGACCCGCGCCCCTTATTCTTCCACAAGTGTATGCATGATGAATAGAGAGCATAAGCCAGCATTTATGCATTCCTGTGCCTACAAAAGATTATTTTAGAATCCGCAGCTCAAACTATAGTCTCCGTGACTTGTAGTAGTGAACCGATCGGTAGTTGGTTGGTTGTGTGGGTCTTGCATTCATCTCCGAATCCTACACATTTCACATACATGATCAATTTATATCATGGATTGGTTAGTTGAGCTTGGACCCGGACCCTTTTCGGTCAAACTTGGTCAGGGTCGAGCTCGGTTTGAGAAAAGTACAAATACAAATATATAGTGTAAATACAAAATTTAGAAATACAATATATTTGCATTCCACATATTTGTATTTACATTCACCATGAAAAGAGCAACATGTGTGTATATATAATACCTAGATATTTTAGGGTGGGTCTCAGGACCTTAGTCTAGACCAAGGTTTGGCCCTAGTTCCCTTGGATCAATCTAGCTAGGCGGGCCAAGCCTTGGGATGGGTCAGGCCAGCTCAACCCTACTGTTGGGAACAGCACTGTCAAAATCAGACTGGACTGAATGATCAGATCAGAGTCTCTAGACCATTAGACCATCAGAATCAGGAACAAGCAACCAAAACGGTTTAATTTAATGAATACTTGTTATAACCCAAATTAAAATGTGTAAAGTTGAGTCTTACTTTGATATAAACTAGCTTCTAAACACAGCGCGCCTTCTATTTTTTCAATTTTTTAAGCACCTGTGACCTAGTGGCTAGCGATCTCTCTCTCTCTCTCTATTATTCCCATCTGAATTAAGGACATCATCTCTACGTACTTTTAAGCGATGGTCTGATCCATTCACCAATGAACGGTCACCAAAACCAGACATCAAGTGGACCCCTATATAAGCCAGGTGTTGAATACATCAATCGGTTTATATTAGTCGAATTAAGTCTTGATGGCCTCTACGAGGAGGACCTAACACTAACGGTTGGTTTTCTGATGCAGCGATCCTAACAGCTTAATTTAATTATAAAGTCAATCACCCCACACGGGGTCGATGTGGAAGATAGAAGCAATGCATCCAGGGTCAGCGTTGAAACTAGGCTTGAAATTGAACCATCTCAAAATTGCCTTCTTCTTGACTATCTATTTACGTTGGGTGGAGATCTAGAGAGAGAGAGAGAGGGACAGGGACTCACATCATGAACTGCCATCCTCAACAACTCCACCTGCTCCTTTGAAACAGTCTTCACCTGCAAACAAGTATCACCACAGCCACAGGAGTAAATGTACTGAAAGATCAGTGATGAGCTTTTTGAGGATTTCCTTTGGAATCATCACTAGAAATTAGAAAACAAATCTAAATCCTTGAACTGGTTTTTGTTTAATTGTGGATTTGTGGGTTGTCGGTTGTGTCTGCGTGTGAGTGACTGACCTTCTTCAGGATGGTCCACACGACACCTTCGGTGCAAGGAGGAGTAGTGAGAGATCCCATGTATCTGTAATACTCCGTCCCTCCCAATTTGATGCGCTTCGGATTTACTATGCCCAACTCTTCTTCTGCACCTTCTTTGTCGGCAGTTTTGAAGACATAATTCTCCATCTATACACATACCAGCCAACCTAAAATGTTTTGCATGTATGAAGAGAAACAGGCAGACAGAGTTGAGTTATGCATCACGTACCATAGAGAGAAAACGATCTGGCCGTCCAAATTTGTATAAGATCCCCACAACTGCGACCTTCTTGTCAGAGCTCTCATGAACCATATGCCCCTCTAATGCATACCTGTAATAGTACAAACATTATAGGAACCACGGTGACAGCACAATACAATCTCAGAGAGAGAGAGAGAGAGAGAGAGAGAGAGACCTTACACCATTAATTGTGTGCTCAGAAGGAGAGTGCCAGTGACAGTGTCTGAGGAAATATCTAGTTCCGTTGATGTAAATCGATCCCGCTCTTTCAACCCATTTAATCTATACACAGTTACAACAACGGAAATGTAAATTTATCAAATGATTCTATATATCTAAACCCAGCACCAGATCAGAACATTCAGAACACTTCAATTCATACCATTATATCATGACCCCTGTTTACAAGAACTGCGCGTGATGGTCTGTATCTTCTCTTAAGCTTCCCTAGATGATGAAGAACCTCAACCTTCTTCTCTGACAAATCAATGGGAGACTGCATTTCGCCATTGCCGCAGGCCGCCCATTCCTCGTGGATTTCGCCCCAGTGCTCGGGACCTACACCACTTCCTTCAACATAGTTGAACTCTCTCTCGTCCTCTGAAATTAAGAAATACAAGTGAGAATGATTAGAAATCAAAATATGATTCGTTAGTCGAAGAAGGCTAATCAGGATCAAGAAATGGGCGCTTACCGACTTCTTCAGTTGTCACAGGTGAAAAAAGCAGTGAAGGAATGACAAGAAGGATAGCCAAGAAGATGGGTTTGATGGGTTCCATACTGTGTACAAATTACTCCGCCAATTGAGTTTCAGTCTCTGATGATTCTCTGCTCCAAAACGATGAAAAATAACCCTGCATATCCCGTACGGCTGTAGAACCAATATGATATATAAGCAGCTAGGTGAGCAGTCGTGAATAATAAAATCAGTGGAGGAAGAAAGAAACTTATAATCAGAATTTCATAAATCCTATAGCTTCATAGTTAAGGGTAAGGGTGTTCACGTCAGGTCCATGTGATGCCCATGTCTCGGTCCTGTTGGTCAGATCGGGTATGGATCCATACCCATATAGGTTCTGGACCAGATTCACCAAATTGCACCCGATCAAAAACTGGATGTATGGACCCTGCTGCAGATAACTAGCGGGGTTCAATATAACTAGAGTTTGATTCACCGGGTAACTAGCTATAGGTTATATATAGCTAATCAGTACGGAATGTTACAATAATAAAATAAACTAAAAATAATGTCCTCTCTATAATTGAAATTGAAGCATTAATGTTCCGCCACTTTTTCATCCGTCTAATATTTAAGGTTCAAAGAGTGTTTGAGTGATAGAGGGGACGATCGAGTTCATTTTTATTGTTTTAGCAAAGAGCTAAAATCGTGAATCATTACTTTAGATGTACTGCTGTGGTGTATAAGTCTACTGTCAATGAGAACTGCAATCTACCCCTCGTAGAGCGCTCTTCATCACAACCACATTCTACCGTGTGTATTAAGAACATCTCCCCATGGATAATAAAATATAAAAGTATGAGAGATATCCTTGATGTATGGGCAGGGCAAGTTGTGAGGTTAGTGTGAGTGTGAGAAGAGCTTTGTGAAGAATAGATTCAGCCTCTACCAATGAAGGATTTGGGGATGATAGATGTGTGACAGCCTCACCCTTAGACATATAGAGAGGATGTTTCTAAGATTAGAACCTACGCCATTCATGTCGCAATGGAATTCACTTCATCTAATTCAAAGTGGGGCCACACCAATCAATTGAAAGCTTTGATCTCACAGTTTTAGCACGGGGTCACAAGTTTAAAATCATGTTGTAATAAGAGAGAGAAAATAATTTAGGGATGCAAATGGATCAAATCATATTCGAATTAGGGTATATCCTATCCGATCCGAAGATCCAATTGTATCGGATAGACATGGATATGAATTTGAATCCAATCCGGAAGTCAGATATTTGGATTTGATCCGCTCCGATTTATTTTCTTTAAAAATTAATAAATTATTAAAATAAAAATAAAATATACCAATTTAAATAAAAAAAAACAAAAAATACAAATATCTTTTTAATTATTTTCATTGCATATATACATTTTTTTATAAAAAAATAAAAATAAATAAGATAATATAGTAAATTTACAAAAATACAATATAAATAATATATTTATAAATAAATAGATAATATATATATATATGTATTATATATATTTATATAAATAAATATATAACATATATATCGAATTGGATAGGACTGATCCGAATCCAATCCCATCTGAAAATTTGAACTGAGGTGATCCAAATTCGACCAAATAAGATCGGACCTTGGATCAAATCGGATGATGACCTAATCCATTTGAACCCCTAATTGTATGCCACGTCAAATAAAATGCCAACATGCCCATCTTTTAAACCAACACCAATTGATGTGATGTTTTGTTTTTCTTTCAAACATGGGTTATTAGAAACACTGTTTTTAAAACCGGACACCTGATTGGTTCCGTTTTCCTTCAAAACCGTTTTTTCCTTCAAAATCATTGATTTTGATCGATAAACCGCTGAACCAGCCGGTTAACCATTCGAACAGTTTTGACCGTTTTTCAATGTTTTTTATTTTTTTATTTTTTTGTCAAAACGGGCCGACTGTTCAGATTGAACGATCGGACCATTCAAACCGATAACCAAACCCCTAACTAATTCGGCCACCGATTCATTTTTAAAAACCATGATTAGAAACATCTTCTAATGACAAATACGGAAAATGGTGCCCTCTGTGAGGAGCAGATGTAAACTCTCTTAGCGTTTTATAAAAGAGTCTGGATTGTCCTGGAAAGATCGTATTTGTAGGAAATATGCTCTCTATGAGAGACCTTAATTCGAGATAATGTGTTGCATAGACTTTCCGTTGTCCTTTTGAATAGCGTCTGATTGTTGGCACTCGTTTGGAGGCAATCAATCAACCATCTTGGATTAGTTGGCTTTTTTTATTGGGGTTTGGCTGTTAATTGTTCACATTATATATTTAATATATAGATTTGGGGTGATTTTTGTTGTCTGGTGCATTCCCCTTTTTAATTTCTAATAATCGTTTTTCTTTTTTAATAAATTTTTATTCACTATAGAAAAAGGATGATGCATGATAGCTTGTAGAGATATAAGAGAAAATTATAGATATAAAAATTAAATAAATATGTCCCATTACCATTTCATTAGTCAAATTTCTAATTGTTTAAAAATAATAAAAATAGAACCAAAAAAACTAGCAAACTAGATTAAAAAATAAATAAATTAGCATTCACCAAAAACATTGTCTTAACCATGCCAGTAATCTTGTTCATACAGAACAAGGAAGATGAATAAATAAATAAATTGATGTGGCTCAAACTAGATATTAAATTTAACAGTTTTTTTTTAAATAATGTGATAAATAAATCTAGATCCTACTTCTTTAAAGTAGGTTAATGAATTTATATCGGAAATATTGTGATTTTTTTTGTTCCTTATTCAACTTAGGACCGTAGATGGAGATCAATGATGGGAACTCTTCGAAGGAAAGAAACCCCAGATATTATTTAATACTTAAATAGTGAGCAGGCACATGGTGTCCCTCTCTCAATTCAAGGGTTGCCATTGACTATTGGCAGTAGCATTTTTCCCAAAAGATTAAGAAAGACTCATTTATAGATCTGAAAACTTATAGTGTTGTTCACATAAGCTTTTGAAGGTATTCTCTGACAGTGTAATGGAAATTTATTGCTCTTATGAATGATGGACGAACAAGAACATGGATTCAAAGACTTCAATTCATTCAGAACGTGGCTTATCTAGTTACCTTCTATAATAAGTAGCAAGAAGCAATTGGTTATAGGTTCACTTACTTAGACACAACCTATATTATTTATTAAAACCTATCTTATAATTTGCAAGGGTTGTATTAATTAATTTTTATTTGGAACCATTTGTATTTTTATCTGAGAATGTTCTCTTATGAAGCTTTTGGAAAAATAAAATTAAACCATCCCTCCACATTATAACTTGGTCTGGAGAAGAAATGGATTCTAAGTAACATGATAACTATTAAAAGTATTTTTGGAATAAAAAATTAGGGCTTCCAATGGGTCAGGTCCAATCTGATGGACCTGATGGACCTGAATCGATTGAGCCAATTCTGGTTTCAGGAATTGGAATTGACAGAGTTTTGGGTCCTGATTTAGTGTCCCGATTATTATCGGTTTGGAACTGGTTCTACTTAGTCCCAAAGCCAATTCTGGTTTCAGGAATTGGAATTGACAAGAGTTCTGGGTCCTGATTTAGTGTCCCAATTATTATCGGTTTGGAACCGGTTCTACTTAGTCCCAAACTGATTTAGACCCGACCCAAACTATATATACACTAAATAAATTTTATATATAATATGCATATAATATATAAAGTATAATATTTAATATATATTAAACATATATATTATTTATTTATTATGGTCGGATCCATTGGGTTAGACCCGATTGTCTCAAGAACCGATCGATTTGATTCTGGGTTTAAAAATTACAGACTCTATCAGGTCTAAGTCAATTCGGGATCCTCAATATTTCACATTCTCTACTCGTTTTAAGAGGTTAGATGACCATTCCCAAGTGAAAATACAAATAGTTACTAAGGTCAATTAAGTAAAGCTGTTGCAAATTATAGCTTTTGTTTTAGTAATACAGAAACTAGAGGATAGGTCTTACTAAATTTATCATTGACTCAACAAACAAACTTTTGCCTATTTAATAGTATAATTATCGATTCCCCTCAAAATTTCTGACATTTCCTGATAAGCTTGTATTATAAATTTGGCCTCAATGTATATATTACACTTAAATGCAACGTTTATTCTAGAGATTCAACTCCATTCTTTGCTACAATTTAAGTGGATAGCCATGATTTAATGTATAAATTTTCATAAACAAGAAAAATTTTAAGCCCCTCCACATGCAATCACATGTGGAGTGTTTAATTGTCAAATGAATAAGTAAGATAGCCCATGAAAAGAAAAATGAGACCAAGAGATAGATAGAGATGAATTCAAGTAACCCAAGCTATTGCCATGAGAAGCAAAAGCATATTATTGGCTTCAAATTGAAGAACTCCAATCTAAAGGAAAGTACTATCAGTACGGAGGATGATTCATACATGTTTCTTTCTCTTTCAACCTTTGAAAATTTGTAAACCGTACACTACTACTGTTCTAAGTCAGTTGTCTCCTGTCCACCATAGTCAAAGGAACATTAACTCTTTCTTTATGCTTGTAAAGGGAATTGTGAAGTGTGATGCAAAGAGCCCCAAGGTCGTCGGCTTCTATGAATGTAGATCTAACTGAAATACATTAGGTATTGTGAGCATCATAGACTAGTTGTACAAGGATTGAATGGTATCAATCTATGCAAGAGAATCCAACTATGTATATGTTTGTTTTACTACAACAGAAATTTGAAATTCAAACCTAATGTATAACTTCATCTTTATATCTTCAATTTGTAAGTTTTATCTATTGGAATTAATATGTATAACAAAAACAAACTCCCCACAAGCTAAGCGAAGACTTGACATGCAAAACTTGGATTGGAGAAGAATGAAATGGGGGCCCTATATATTGGTCAACCATAGAGAAATGACACATATTAAGTGCATGGGAAGAGATTTGTTTACATGCAAAGTGGCATGACATGGGATTGGCTGCTAAATATATGGTGTCAATATTATCATACCACAAAATGAGTGGCTTTGAAATAAAATTGTGAAGCTCACACAAGAGAGATATAAGCCCGAAACAGAAGTTACAGGTAGGGGTGTCAATGGATCGGTTTTGGATTGGATTGGATCCTATCCAAATCAAAATCAATTTGGACGGATTGGATGGA